AAGTTTCCAGGGACAGATCACTGAACAGGGCGAGTGCAGCCCGCCCAGGCAGAGGCAACGACAGTCCACTCCCAATTCTGGTCCCCTAGGAGAAAAGCAAGGTCAAGGATAACCCAAACAGCAGATAATCCAAAAGGAAACCTCTTTAGTCTAAGAGGCTAAGCTTGTCAATCGGAGACTTGTCACTTTGTTTAAAAAAATCTGCATCCGTTAACTCATCCTTACTGATTCATCAGCAGGTATTTATGACACACCAACTATGAGACCGTGGGCATTCCTTCAGTTGTTGAGGACACAGGAGGCATACAAATAAATTCCTGCCCTCCAATTTTAATAGGAGAGGGAAAAAAAACAACAGGATAACCAAGGAAAATATTTAGTAGGTTAGATAGCAGTAATGCCAAGGAGAAAATCGGGCAGGAGTGGGAACGGAAATGTGTCTTGCAGGGGGCATACTTGCATTTGGCTAGTACACGCTGAGACTGGATGGCCTGTGGGTGCGAGAGTCCGCTGGATAACGGAGAGAAACCTGCCTAGATTTTAAAGGCGGGCCAGCAACAGAGCCGGAGCTCAGCTTCCCCAGGTGTGGCAGGCGTGTGTGGTGCCCAAAGGCTCCTCCACTCAGGAGGGGCTCCTGGAGCTGAGATTGAACACCTCCTGCATCCTGGGCGCTGGCACGGGCCCTTCAGAGATGGCGCTTTGCACCTCTGTGCGGTCAAACCCATCATCTTTTTTGCCAAGTCGTTGGCCGCACTTGGCAAAGGGAAATTCGGTATCAGGAGAGCAAAGAAACAACACTCAACCCCTTTCTTCTGTGCCTCTCCCACAAACCAGCAAGGAAAATTGGCTAATCCCACCAAAACCAAGATAGGGCTTTCTGAGCAAAGCCTCTCCTACAACAGAGCTATCCACAATTCACATTAGCACGACAGAAAGCGTATTCTAACACTGCCTAAGGTTTTTTTTCCCTCAATGCAGCTCTTAGACTTTGAAAAATTTAATCAAAACCTTCATGAAAGGTCATTCTCCTCTGACTTAGCCTTTGCATTTCAGGGGCTGAAATGTGACTGAGGCAGAAGAAGAAGAAAAGTCATTTAAAAATACCATTGAACTGAATCTATGGGGAAGGCACACACTGCCAGAGGCCCCTTCGGGAGTGGGACAGGAGTTGATAGCATTTTTGCTGGCAGCTTTAGAGGATAAAGCTGTCTTAAGATCTGCACTGAAAATCAAAGTGTTAGTTGCTCAGTCGGTTAGACTCTTTGCAATTCCATGGACTGTAGCCCGCTAGGCTCCTCTGTCCATGGCATTCTCCAGGCAATATCGGAGTAGGTGGCTATTTCTTTCTCCAGGGGGTCTTTCTGACCCAGGGATTGAACCTGGGTCTCCTGCATGGCAGGCAGATTCTTGACCACCTGAGCCACGGGCTTTGAATAAGAGTGCTGTTATGAGAGCTTTGACTTTGAACTCCCACAGGGGAGATGCCTTAGAATTTAGGAACCAATAGATTGACACATTGACACTCAGACTACCTGCGTCACCTGTGTTAATTTCCAACTGTCAACAAAGGTGGAGGATAAAAGACAGGCCCCGAGACCCAACCTTCAATGAAAGGAAACTAATCATCACTAAGATAAAAAAATAAAAATAATAATAAGAAGAAGAGGTCTGCTCACACTGAGCTTACCATGTGCCACTTTCTACCCGTTAATTACATTAATTCTCATAAGAGCTCCATGCAGTTGGTTCTTTTGATCTCTGATTCAGAGACAGACAAGGTGTGACAGAGTGGTTGTTCTGTGACTTGGACTAATTAACACGGAGTCAGGAGTTTACCCAGCTCTTCCTGGGTGGCTCAGACAGAAAAGAATCTGCCTGCAATGTGGGAGACCTGGGTTCGATCCCTGGGTCAGGAAGATCCCCTGGAGGAGGGCATGGCAACCCACTCCAGTATTCTTACCTGGAGAATCCCACGGATAGAAGAGCCTGGCAGCTACAGTCCATGGGGTCGCAAAGAGTCGGACACAACTGAGCGACTCACACACACACAGTATTTTTACCCAGGACTCCTGCGCCTGTGATCCTAAGGAACGAACCAGTGAGGGTGACACAGAGAAACTGACTAAGAGCTAGTTTCTCAGTGTTTCTTCTCAGCTTTGAGTGGAGCTTGGAATTATTTACAAAGAATTTAGGGGCAGCAGAGTCCCCCTGTGATACACAGTTCATCCTCTTTAGTCCAAATGCTCTTAAGGTCAGAGGATCAGCTTTTGGAGTCTTGCAGCTGATTAAACACCACTTCACACAAGGACTTCATTATCATTGGGAGCTGGCTTGCGGACGGACTTTGAAATGTCTGTTGTTGTTCTTGCCACCTTGAAGGCCTTTTTATTTAAGTGTTAACCTTTCTCCTGCATCATTTTTTTTTTCTATGACACTAAAGGCTTCAGGACTTGAATTTGCCTATGACCCCAGTGATCAACTGTACAGAGTTTTTTGTGTTCTTTTTCCTTACAATCGATTTGCATTACTTTGTCTAAGGCCCATCCCTACCTTCCTGGGGCAATAAGACATCAGAGCAGATGATGGAAGTGTTTTCTGTAAAGCGACAGACAAGCACCGGGACAGACTTCGCCCGTCCCACTGTCTTGGTTGCAGCTACTTAACTCTGCGAGGTTGCCATTGACAATACTAAACACATGAGCCCGCGACTGTGTTTTAATAAAGCTTTCTTAAAGCAGGTGGCGAGGCACATTTGAACTTCACTTCGCGCTCACTTTTGATCTCCTTCCAGGCAAGGAGACCTGGTCTGGTCACTTCGGGCATCTCTCTGCTGCCTGGTTGATCTGGCCCCAGAAAGGAGAAGCCATGTGTCTGACTGGTGAATTCAGGAAGAATAAACCGAGTCAGCCAAGCCTGCTGCAGTCAGACCCCAGAGGGAGCATCGCCCAGCGGTGGACCACAGCTCCCAAACTTCCTCCAGATCCTGGGCACCCGCTTAGCTTGCTGCTCCGGTAGAAGCAATAGGAACTTGGCGACTCCCTTGGCTTCCCCAGAGAGCACTCAGCCCTAACCCACCCCCAAAAGGCTCGGAACACTGGCTGACCATTCCGGCCTACCCCACCTCCACAGGTCCAGTTCCCCCCCAACTCCTCTTCCAGGCCCACTTTACTCCTTCCCCCACCCCCACTTCATGGCAAATAGATGGGGAAACAATGGAAACAGTGAGAGAATTTATCTTCTTGGGCTCCAAAATCCCTGCACATGGTAACTGCAGCCATGAAATTAAAAGACACTTACTCCTTGGAAGAAAAGCTAAGACCAACCTAGATAGCATATTAAAAAGCAGAGACATTAGCTTGACAACAAAGGTCCATCTATAGTTTTTCCAGTAGTCATCTATGGATGTGAGAGCTAGACCATAAAGAAAAAATTGATGCTTTTGAACTGTGGTGTTGGAGAAGACTCTTGAGAGTCCCTTGAACTGTAAGGAGATCAAACCAGTCAATCCTAAAGGACATCAGCCCAGAATAGTCATTGGAAGGACTGCTGCTGAAGCTGGAGCTCCAATACTTCGGATGTGAAGAGCCTACTCATTTGCAAAGACCCTGATGCTGGGAAAGATTGAGGGCAGGAGAAGGGGATGACAGAGGATGAGACAGTGGGATGGCATCAACAACTCAATGGCCATGAGTTTGAGTAAGCTCCGGGAGTTGGTGATGGACAGGGAGGCCTGGCGTGCTGCAGTCCATGGGGTCGCAAAGAGTCGGACACGACTGAGCGACTGAACTGAACTGAACCCGCCCCCCAACACCCCCGCCCCGGCTCTGCCCCTGCCCAGCCCCTCGGTGGCTGGGCGCGGGGGTCTTCCTTACTTTGGTGGTCTTAGCAGCAGTTCTCTGGGGTCTAAGAGCCCCCGAGAGAGGCCTCTCTACTACCTTCCCACGCCTGTGACCCTGACGCCCCCCTCCCACCATGAACCTCTCACAGGCTGTGCTGCTCAAGCCCACCTCAGCCCATTTGTGCAGCCACGTCCCCAGACTCCAAACCTGACATTGCAGCCCTGCCCCTCGGACCGTTCACTCTCCGTAGGGTAGCCCCTCCCCGCCCTGCGTCCCTGCCCCCCAGAAACCCTCTCCAGCAGGGTAATCCCGCCCCCAGCACCCTCCCTCGCAGTGTTCGATTCAGTTCAGTCGCTCAGTCGTGTCCGACTCTTTGCGACCCCGTGGACTGCAGCACACACCACGCTTCCCTGTCCATCACCAACTCCCAGAGCCTACTCAAACTTATGTCCATCGAGTCGGTGATGCCTTCCAACCATCTTATCCTCTGTCGTCCCCTTCTTCTCCCGCCTTCAATGTTTCCCAGCATCAGGGTCTTTTCCAATGAGTCAGTTCTTCGCATCAGGTGACCGAAGTATTGGAGTTTCAGCTTCAGCATCAGTCCTTCCAATGAACACCCAGGACTGATCTCCTTTAGGGTGGACTGGTTGGATCTCCTTGCAGTCCAAGGGACTCTCAAGAGTCTTCTCCAACACCACAGCTCAAAAGCATCATTTCTTCGGTGCTCAGCCTTCTTTATGGTCCAACTCCCACATCCATACACGACGACCGGAAAAACCACAGCTTTTGACTAGATGGACCTTTGTTCATCAAACAAATGTCTCCGTGTAGCCTCGCCCCAGTGCTTCTCCCTCTGATCCCCCTCCCCCAGACTCCTCCCTTGTGGTGCAGCTCTCCCAGAGCCCTCCCCCTCAGTGAAACACCGCCCCCATCCCCTTCCCGGGAAGTGCAGCCCCGCCCCAAACACGCCCCCTTGGTCCCACCCAGGCAGTGTAACCCCGCCCCCATTCTCCCCCGACCGGGTTGAGTCCCAGGACTTGCAGTCCCGCCCCCATCACCCTCCATGCAGCCCCGCCCTTGACTCCAGCCCCCACCAGCATCCAGTCCTCCGGCCCGGCCCTCCAGCAACAGCCGCCACCCGCCCAGCCCACGCCGGCTCACCCGGCCCTGGCGGTAGTAGTAGCTGTGCTCCTTGGGGTCCTGGCGCCGCGGAGGGACGTAGCTGAAGGCGGACAGCGCAGAGACGGGCAGCGGCCGGGGCTTGCCCCGCAGCGCGGAGGCCGTGATCTCCTCCTCCTCGTCCTCCATTTGGCCGCCGAGCTCCGCCCGCCTAGGGCCCGGGTGCAGCCCTCCTGCCTGGGGCTGCCAGGCGCCCGCGAACGGCTGTTGCCTGGAAACGGCGGCCGCGCCGCGCGAGCCTGGGCAGGGCGGGGCGAGGGCGGGGCCGACCCCGCCCCCATGCCCCTGGAAACTCCGCCCCCCGCTCCTTCTTTGGACGTCGGGGAGTCCCATCTGCTAAAGCCGCTGCTGGGGTCGGGGCGGGGAGGTGCCTCTGAGATCCGCACTTTCCGGCCTGCACACCTTTCTGCGCGCAGTCTGTCCCATCACTGAGACCGTGTTGGTTGGGCAATTGATGGCCTTGCACCTCCTGTGTGCCAGCTCCTGGGATGAGCCTGGAACCAAGTGGACTGTCCACCGGGATCTGACAGCCTGGTGACGAAGTCGGGATAGATGTGAAATGACAAGTGATTCAAGAGGGTCTGGAGCAGCGCCGCCACAAAGGCGCACCTGTAGTTTAAAACTTCTTGGAAACCACATTCTCACTCTTCCCTAGGCAGCCTTGTGTGAGCTCAGTCGTGTCCGACTCTTTGTGACCCCATGGACTGTAGCCCGCCAGACTCCTCTGTCCGTGGTATTTTCCAGTATTCCAAGAATACTGGAGTGGGTTGCCATTTCCTCTTCCAGGGGGATCCTCCTGACCCAGGGATCAAACCTGCATCTCTAGCCTGGGAAGCTTTTAAGTACAGAGGACACCATTGTTAGGAAGATCATTCTTGTCTATTGTTTTTAAGTTTTTTTTTGGGGGGGTGCAGACCATTTTTAAAAATCTTTGTGGAATCTGTTACAATATTGCTTCTGTTTTTTGGATTTGGGGGGATCTTCCCCACCCAGTGGATAAGGAAATGGCAACCCACTCCAGTGCTCTTGCCTGGAAAATCCCATGGACAGAGGAGCATGGTAGGCTTCAGCAGTCCATGGGGTTGCAAAGAGTCGGACACGACTAAGTGACTTCACTCACTCACTCACTCACTCCCCACCCAGGGATCGAACCCTCCTTTCTTGTGTCTCCAGCTTTGGCAGGCGAGTTCTTTACCACCAGCGTCCCCTGGGAAGCCCTAGGCAGGGGTCCTTGTAAAATCACCAGGAGAGAAAAAAAAAACAGGTCTTATAATCAAGTACCTCTCCCAACCTCTCAAACCTCTTTTAAGGATCTGACACAGGAGGTCAGCTAATGGTCAGGAGCCTTCACAGCCTTGCATAGGTGAAACACACTTTGTGAAACGGGAGCAGTTGACACCAGGTATCTTGAGAACTCAGCTGAAACTGAGACCAAAATCATTTCGTTGAAAACTCCATCTGTGCAGCTATGTGGAAGTGCATCAGTTAGCTTCAGCTTCCCCTCAGTCTCTCCTGTACTAGACTGATAGCTGTAGAGGGCACTACACTCACCCTCTGATGGCTGAGTCTGGCACACAGTAGGTGCTCACTCCACAGGGACTTGGTGATTCAGTAGAGAAATACAGTTGGCATACTGGCTTGGGTTCCTTCTAAAGGTGAGCCTGGCACAAGGACTTGGATCTGTTGTTGTTCAGTTGTATCTGACTCTTTACAACCCCATGGACTGCAGCATGCCAGGCCTCTCTGTCCCTCACCATCTCCTGCAGTTTGCCCAATTCATGTCCATTGAATTACCCTCCCATCTTCCCCAGTAGCATATTAGACACCTTCTGACCTGGGCGGGGGACGCTCATCTTTCAGTGTCGTATCTTTTTGTCTTTTTGTACTGTTCATGGGGTTCTCACAGCCAAAATACTGGAGTGGTTTGCCACCCCCTCCTCCAGGGGACCACGTTTTGTCAGGGTCTCCACTGTGACCCGTCCGTCTTGGGTGGCCATGCACGGCATGCCTCATACCTTCATTGAGTTATGATAGCTTATGTTAAACGATGTCAGATTCATGATCTCTGAAGATTTAGCTTCGGGACCAGGGGCCAGGCTTGATCACTCAAGAGCTTTTGTGTAACACAGCTTTATTAAAGTATGAAAGGGAAGGGGAAAGCTTCTGACACAGACATCAGAAGGGGGGCGGAGAGTGCCCCCCTCGCTAGTGTTAGCAAGGGAGTTATATCCTTTTCAATTGGTTATTAAAATAAATCAAAAGAATGTCCCAAGGTTGTAAAAATCTTACTAGACCTACTCCCACAGTTTACATTTTAAGATGATAGGATTAGAGCTAACAATAGAAAGATCTCACCAGACCCACTACCATAATATACATTTTAAGATAACAGGAATAATCAGAAGGTTTCCGAGAAGGAGAAACTGTCCTCAAACAGGATACATTGTTGTTAGATAATCCTCCTTACAGAGTTTAAACTGAGTTGTTTTGCTGTGTAATCATCAACTCTGGGATTAAAGAAAAAAAAGCATTTTGTGTGACTAAGGCTAATGTGTCCTTTTCTCCTCCTTGACAATTCCAGACCCCTGTCTCCTCCTCGGGGGGCCCTGGACTTCTTATCAACCTACCTAGGAATTGACTCTTTCAGTTACACAAGCCCCTTCTCCATGACAAGGCAGTGATCCATGAAGGGGAAGGACTTGGATGCTCTTGCTTTATTTGGGAGGTAATTCCAGGGATCAGGAGCAAGGCGCCAGAGGAGTGAGGGCAGCAGGAAAGTCCATATAAGACTGAATTCTCAAGGTCACTCCTCAGGGCAACTGGGGCTCGACCTTGCCCAGGACTGTCTGAGGAGCATGGAGCAGCATCTCAGAATCACCTGCAGTTCACCATGGAGGCCCCTTTTATTTCTCATTCCCTGTCCTCCTGGGGTGAGACTTCCTTCCTTATCATTCACTCCCGACCTTGTGTGACCCTAGCCCAGAGCTGCCTTGGCACCGCTCTGGGTCTACCTGGTGTCAGAGAAGCCCGGGGGCCTGACTGTGAAAGGCTCCAGCATCACTCGAGGTGGAGGTGGTGCAGCCCTGTGGAATGGCCACCACCCCGGGGGCAAATTCACATCCTGCAGGGCTGGAACCGGAGGTGGAGGAAACAGTAGACAAGATGAACTTTGCTGGTTTCAATTATTAAGAGATTTTAGTTCCTTTTTAAAAAATACTTTCCTATACGATCCTATTACATATTCCAGGTACGTGAGTGGAATACAAGGTCAAAAAGTCTAATGTATTTAAGTCCCTTGTGTCTGTGACTTGTACTTGCAAAGTCCTATGTGAGGGAAGGGAAGGATAAAGGAACAAAACCCTACTTTTAAAATAAGTGCGATAGTAGTACCCACAAGCAAGCTGAGCATGAGTAACTCTGCAGATCAGTTAGCTGTGTTGCAGTTGACAGTCTCAGTAATCTGGGGGGCAATTGTTCACTCTTTCAGTCATGTCCGGCTCTTTGCTGTTGTGCCCAATGTCCGAATCCCTGAGCGGGAAGAGAGTAGGCCTCCAAGACAATGCAACTGGCAAAAAGGGGGAGTTTATTACTGACTCGAGCCAGGGCCCTCTGCCTCATCCAACGCAGTCATGCAGCACAACATTTGCGACCCCATGGACTGCAGCACGCCAGGCTTCCCTGTCCTTCACTATCTCCCAGAGTTTGTTCAAACTCATGTCCATTGAGTCAGTGATGCCATCCAACCATCTCATCCTCTGCTGCCCCCTTCTCCTCCTGCCCTCAAACTATCCCAGCTTCAGGGTCTTTTCCAATGAGTTTTGGAGCTTCAGCTTCAGCATCAGTCCTTCTGATGAATATTCAGGGTCGATTGCCTTTAGGATTGACTGGGATGTCTGCTCTCCAAATCCCATTCCACCATCACAGAATCTACACCGGTGCCCAGAGCTGACGTTGGGGGATGACTTTGCTCTGGTCTGGTTAAAACTTACTGTTTAGGCAGCCTGCTCCGCAGGGCCACCAGGACCTCAGCTGCCTGCAACTCCCCACTGGGTCTGTGTATCCAGCAAATTTAGTTTGTTATGAACTCAAGGGATATGGCAGAACGCTCCTGCCACACATGTTCCAAATGTTTGACAGAATAAAATCGTAACCTTGGCTCCATCAACGGGAGCTACAGCCCATCCTCCAGATCATCTTCAGCAGATGTGGGGTTCGGGCAGTGATGCGTGGTGGGATAACAAGCCTTGATCTTATTTGATACCTCCTCCCTGGTAAAGAGGCCAGGTCAATTCACTTCCCTGTAGGATACTGCCAGTAGACTAAGAAAACATGTTTGTCATCAGGTTTTTCCTGGAGGCTGACTCATTCAATTGATGGAGTCCCTGTGAGTCCTTTAAACATCAAACTTACATTTCAAGGCATTTAAGTGTAAATTTAATTGTGATTTGTTCCCCTTGTTGATTTTGAAATCAAAATGCATGTGATTCCATAGATGTCCCAAATGAAAAATCCCCAATACCCATGACTCTAGCAGTGAGCAGGACCGCCTGTCAGAACCAGCTCCTTAAAGAGGGCTGACCCCAGGGCTGAGACAGGAGAGGTGACTGAGCCTGGGACATCCTCTTCTGCCAAGAAATTTTCAAAAGCGAGTATGTCCAGGTCAAAAGGATAGACAGATCAACATGAAGGGTATTCCACTGTGGCAGGGAGGAAGCCAGTGCTGACTCTTATGTTGGAAACTGTTTCTTTGACTTGCTTTTATTATTGTGAGTGAAAGTCGCTCAGTCATGTCTGACTCTTTGGGATCCCATGGACTATATGGCCCATGGAATTCTCCAGGCCAGAATACTGGAGTGGGTAGCCTGTCCCTTCTCCAGAGGATCTTCCCAACCCAGAGATTGAACCCAGGTCTCTCGCATTGCAGGCAGATTCTTTACCTGCTGAGCCACAAGGGAAGCCCTTTTTAAATTAGTATTATTTATTATTATAAGCATATTCAATGGCTTGCCTGGAGGACCCTGCCCCTCTGCATGACTGTAGACTTAAGTGCCCTTGTTCAGCTTAAGGAGAGGTAACTTGTCCCTGCCCACCTGTGAATAGAAGAGATTAACACACCTTCTGAAGGCTGGATGTTCCCTTGGAGATGTCTTACAAGACTGAAGACCCATTCACTTTATTTCCCCACTGCATCTTCTTCTCTATCTGCCTTTTGACTTCAGTTCCTCCCTGCTTCTTTCTTTCTGGTCTATAAAGCAACCTGGCACCCAGGCTCCAATAAGGTGGTTATTTCGAGGCGCTAGCCTGCGATCTTGAGAGTCTGCCGGCTCCTGGATTAAAGTCTCTTCCTTGCCTCACCACCTCGTCCCTCGGTTCCACTGGCCCATCGCGTGGCAAGCAGAGCGAGCTTGGACTTTGTAACACCACCAGTCTAAAATACAAGGTAAACATCCAAAAGATGACTGTAACAGACTGAAGCACATCAAGTATATGAAACGTCATGAGTTCACAGATAGCCTAAAACAAACAGCAAACAAAAAACTGACCAGAAAACCAGCTCTTTATTCTAAAACCTGATAAAAGGAAAGACACATTTATCTTGTTTTTTCTGTTCAATTCATCATTTTAAAATTTTTATTGGAGTTTAGTTGACGTAAGGTGTGTTAGTTTCTGCTGTACAGTGAAGTGAATCATTTATACACGTATCCATATGTACACATATATCTACACTTTTTTCGATTCTTTTCCCATATGGGTCATTACAGAGGATTGAGAAGAGTTGCCTGTGTGAAATGAAATGTTTTCTGCTTTATGCTCTACCAGTAAACAAGCCTTTTCCAAATGCAAATTTCTGAGCCCAGGTGAAAAACATAGCCAGCTATTTGGAAGGCATTAGCTACTTTTCTCCCTGGTAAGCGCTGAGGAACTGGGGGATATTTACAGGCAGCCATCCACCACATTCGCCATCTCTTACAGTACACAAGGAATTAGTATGTGAACAATAAAGAAAGCAGGGTTGGCCCCAGATAGCTAGAGGCTTATGAAAGAAATGATTTCAGCAAGTCCAGATGCTTGCATTTTCCCATACATGTAAGATCGCTAAATCTCTTCATGTAGGAGATTTTGTTTTCTTTTGATTAACAGTAATCTTCACATATTCAGACTACCTGCCCCTGGCTGCAAAGTTGTATATAGCCTGGCTCCTCCCCCGCCTCCTCGGAGCCAGCTCTCTTGGGGTCACCTGAGATCCTGTCTCCCGGACTCAAGTCCTAATACTCCCACTGAATAAAACCTCTCAATTTTGAGGTTGTGTGTATTATTTATAGTCGACACATGCATTATACAGTAGGTTATCAATTTTTGTATATAGTAGTAGTATATATATGTCAATCCCAACCACCCAATTTATCCCTCCTTCCCTTTCCCCCGGTAACATAAGTTTGTGTATAAACCTTATTTTGTGCTTAGTCATTCAGTCTTGTCCAACTTTTTGTGACCATGTGGACTGTAGCCTGCCACGCTCCTCTGTCCATGGGGATTCTTCAGGCAAGAATACTGGAGTGGGTAGCCTTTCCCTTCTCCAGGGGATCTTCCCAATCCAGGGATCGAACCCAGGTTTCCGCATTGCAGATGGATTCTTCACAGTCTGAGCCACCAGGGGAGCCCAAACCTTATTTTCAGTTTGGTTCAGTTGCTCAGTCGTGTCCGACTCTTTGCGACTCCATGAACTGCAGCATGCCAGGCATCCCTGTCCATCACCAACTTCCGGAGTCCACCCAAACCCATGTCCATTGTGTCGGTGATGCCATCCAACCATCTCATCCTCTATTGTCCCCTCTCCTCCTGCCCTTGATCTTTCCCAGCATCAGGGTCTTTTCAAATGAATCAGCTCTCTTCACCAGGTGGCCAATGTATTGGAGTTTCAGCTTCAACATCAGTCCCTCCAATGAACACCCAGGACTGATCTCCTTTGGGATGGACTGGTTGGATCGCCTTGCAGTCTAAGGGACTCTCAAGAGTCTTCTCCAACACCACAGTTCAAAAGCATTAATTCTTTGGCACTCAGCTTTCTTTACAGTCCAACTCTCACATCCATACATGACCACTGGAAAAACTATAGCCTTGACTAGATGGACTTTTGTTGGCAAAGTGATGTCTCTGCTTTTTAATATGCTGTCTAGGTTGGTCATAACTTTCCTTCCAAGGAGTAAGCATCTTTTAATTTCATGGCTGCAATCACCATCCACACTGATTATGGAGCCCAGAAAAATAAAGTCAGCCACTGTTTCCACTGTTTCCCCATCTATTTGCCATGAAGTGATGGGACTGGATGCTATGATCTTAGTTTTCTGAATGTTGAGCTTTAAGCCAGCTTTTTCACTCTCCTCTTTCACTTTCATCAAGAGGCTCTTTAGTTCTTCTTCACTTTCTGCCATAAGGGTGGTGTCATCTGCATATCTGAGGTTATTGATATTTCTCCTGGCAATCTTGATTCCAGCTTGTGCTTCATCCAGCCCAGCATTTCTCATGATGTACTCTGCATATAAGTTAAACAAGCAGGGTTATTTTAGAGTTCACCAATAGTTGATTGGAGAAATTTCTTCTTTATAGATGAATACAAGCAGATAAAAGTAGAAGGAATGATAGAGTGAGGAAATCTTTTTTAAAACACCTATTGGAAGAATGAGTCTAGACAACTGTCATTAATAGATGCTAAAGCCCTTAGGTGAAAGGTTGACAGGGTCTACAGAGGAGCGATCAGGCTGGTGGTGAGCCAGGAACCCACTATCAATCTTAATGAATACCACTAAGAGGGTAACAGGACATTATGGTATGAGGCAAAACAAATACACAGTACCTCCTCTGAAGCAGCCTTGCTGGAAAAATTAAGCTGAATCTAAGCAAGCCTCTGGATCTTTTCATTTAGTAGGAAATTAAGCAGAGGAACCAGTTAGAAAACGTCAGATCAACGCTGTGGGACTGTTTCCAGGGCAATTGACCTGACTTCTCCAGTGAATTCACGACACGGAACCTAGGTGAGGAGGGGGGTAGTTACAGACACGAGATTTAAGACTTAGAGGTGTAACACCTAACATTAGTATGTGGACTTTGTTCAGATCCTGATTCAAAGGAATCAACATTTAAAAGATATTCTTGAAAGACAAATGCCATATGATACCGCTTACTTGTGGAAGCTAAAATATGGTGCAGATGGACCTGTCTACAAAGGAGAAACAGACTCAAAAACTTAGACAACAGACTTGAGGTTGCCAAGAGGGAGAGAGGTATGGGAGAGATGGATTGGGAGTTTGGGATTAGTAGATACAAACTATTCTACCTACAATGGTCCTACTGCATAGCATAGGGAACTAAAGTCTGTATCCCGGGGTAAAGCATCATGGAAAAGAACATAAAAAAGAATGTATATAGGTATAACTGAGTCAGTTAGCTGTATAGTAGAAATTAACACAACATTGTAAATCAACTATACTTCAATAACAAAAATTAATTAAAAAAATATTTCTGAGACAGCACAGAAAACCTGGAATATAGACCTGGTATTAAATGACCATAGGCAAGAATTATCAGTTTTGTTTGTTGTAAGAAAAAAAATTTATTGGTTATGGATTCATACTGAAGTGTTTAGGATAAAAGTAGATGATCGTTTGGATTTCTCTAGAAACATTCCAATATAGGAAAAGAAAGAAAAAGAATAAGGGAATAAAGAGATGAAACAGGATTGGAAAATGAGGGTATTTTTTCGTGATGATTAAAGAAACATGAATCCATTATGCTAGTCTTTCTAATCGTGCATGTGTGCTCATTCGCTCACTCATGTCTCTTTGTGATCCCGTGGACTGTATAGCCTACCAGGCTCCTCTGTTCATGGAATTTTCCAGGCAAGAATACTGAAGTGGGTTGCCATTTCTACTCCAGGAGATCTTCCTGACCCTGGGATCAAACTCAGGTCTCCCGCATTGACAGGTGGATTCTCCACCACTGAGCTGCCTGGGAAGCCCTCTTCTATGCTTGTGTGTGCTCCGTGCTTTCCATAATAAAAGTCACAGTCGAGTCACTGAGATATTGCTTCTTGCAAATGTTAGATCCTAGAATACAAGTTCAAGACACAAAGAGTGTGCCCTATATGCTAGAGACTGCAAGGAGTCATGGAGACAGATGTTTGGGCTTTTCTGAGATGGGATTTCAAGCATGTTAATGCAAATTATCTTATGATGGAGCAGGCAACCGAGGTGCGTTCCATTCTTATTACAGCAGAGGTTTTATAGAACAAGGTTTCTCAGCATGGTGTCTGGCAAGCAGCAAAAGGAGTGGCCGTGGGCTCTTTCTTGGGGATGGCTTAACCAGTGAGGCAGCGGTACCGTCGGCAGAAACCAGCAATCGTGAGATCAAGCACCACACTCGGAGAGCTGGAGAACTCAGGTTAATTATGCCGGTGGGCCCAGAGGTGTTAACACTCCAAGCTCTGAGGCCCAAACAAAGGGGTTACAGAGTGTTTATGTACAGATGATAGTGGGCAACACTAGCTGCTATATGCTGGTTTAAACTAAGGTGTTTCCCACGTGCGGGGACAGCGGTCAAGACGGGGAGGGGGATGCCTGACCTTTACACGAGCAGGCATGATTAAGCAGGTTTGCAGGGGCCGGGCAATTGCAAAGATCAGGACAAGGGTGAGTGAGAGAAGCTCCAGTTCCTAGTATTGTAAGTCCCCACTTTCTGAGACTACCTGACCTACGTGACCCAGACTTTGCAAGGAGCAAGCTGAGTTACAGAGGCAGGACCAGCAGGAGGTTATGTAAAAATTTCCACTTTTCCTCTTTGGTACTGCTCCTTGTTGGGGGTCTCTGACGGGCTCCATTCCTGCAACTGTAACAAGGAGGCCTGACTGCACCATAACTCACTAATAACAAGAGCCCATGTGGCTCGCTGGGGATTTACTGTTTTCCAGTTCCTGCCACACAGCTGACAAGGAACGTCTTATTTCATGATCCTGAAACTGCGTGGAACGCTAAGGGGCCTTCCCTGGACAGATCCTCCCCCCGCACCCTCTTCTGTGGCTCCTCTCTGAAGTGCCTAGATAATAGCATCTGATGCACACTTCCTGAGCTGATTTACAGATGCTAAAACCACCACCAAATGGAAGAAATTAGCCACTTGGTGACCCTGAGCACTTAGCCCCAGACCTACTGGCGCCTGAGGGTTGATTCCGTTAACCCCTGCAACAAGGCCCCTTTATGTCTGAGTCAGCCAATCACAGAATTGTGCAGGAGCTGATCACAGCCCCTGCGAGGCCCTCCCCCTCACTTGGCTTTTGAAAACGCTTTGCTGAAATCCAAAGAGTTGATGCTTTTGAACTGTGGTGTTGGAGAAGACTCTTGAGAGTCCCTTGGACTGCAAGGCGATCCAACCAGTCCATCCTAAAGGAGATCAGTCCTGGGTGTTCGTTGGAAGGACTGATGCTGAAGCTGAAACTCCAGTACTTTGGCCACCTGATGAGCTGACTCATTTGAGAAGACCCTGATGCTGGGAAAGACTGAGGGCAGGAGGAGAAGGGGACGACAGAGGATGCGATGGTTGGATGGCACCACACACTCAATGGACATGAGTTTGGTGGACTCCGGGAGTTGGTGATGGACAGGGAGGCCTGGCGCATCAGAGTTCAGGTCTTTTAAGTGCTAGATGCTTGGACTCCTTGCCTGGTGCCCTCCAGGCACCCTGTGCTTTCCTTCAACACAACCCAGTGTCAGCCGACTGGCTTTTCTGTGCAGGTGAGCAGACCCAAGTGTGGTTTGGTGACAATCCTACACTAAGTGTTCGGACTCCAAGTGGATCTGGATGTGTTTCCAGTTGGGAAAATTTCAGGTTTCGGAGGTTAACTTGTCATCATGGAGCCAAGAGCCCCCTTCCCTGAATTTGTACACCGTCTTGCAGTGGGGCCAGCTTTTTTTGTTTATTTGTTTTTTAGAGGGAACTGATCTCCCCCTGCTCCTGGAATTCTATTAAATATGCTCAATTCTGCTTCTTTCTATTCTTTCTTCCACCTAACAAATACTTACCAAGTCCCCATATGCACCCAGGTGTGCAGAAATTCTGTAGGTAGGATCCTGGTCTTCAAGACCCAGCCAGAATCTCTTCATCCCGAGATGCCGCCTGCCCTCTTCTGATAGGCCTGGTTCAGCCAAGGGGCATTCTTTCTTCTGTCCAGGCAAAACTGTCACCCACAGCTCGGGCCTGTAACACACACGTTCGATTACCATCGCTGAATGTCCGAACCTTTGCTGCCCTCTAGTGGCTGGTCTGGAGTTAATCACTTGCTTTCAGGGGTTGTATTTAACTTCTTTCACCTATTTTTTTCTTTGCTTTAGTTTCCCCGCTTTGCTTTACTTAAAAAAAAAAAAATCAAGATTATGTCTTATTTAAAAATGTTATTAATACATTGAACCAAGGTCTATATCATACTGTGTATGTAATTTAAAAAGAAAATTCACATCATTTTTGTTTACATAGGGTTAGGGTTAGGTAGACATTAAAATTTTACTGGCCTGAGGATTCAGCTTATAAGCACACATGGCTTTATAATCTTATGGAGCTTGCCAAATTTACTCCAATTGGTGAAATAAGCAGTCTCATATTTGTTAGCCTAAACTCTTTCCCTACGACATATCCCCACACATTTTCAGGATTAAAATTTGCTTTAAAACAAAGTGTCATTTAGTTTCAACCCTGAGAGGTCAGTTGGTAAAGAATCCACCTGCAATGCAGGAGACTCCGGTTGATTCCTGGGTCGGGAAGATCCGCTGGAGAAAGGAAAGGCTACCCATTCCAGTATTCTGGACTGGAGAATTCCATAGACTGTATAGCCCATGGGGTCGCAAAGAGTTGGACAGAACTGAGCGACTTTGACTTTTACTCCCATTGCCTGTGGCAGCCTGTCTGCCTTGTGCTGGGTGCTCTGGGCACGGCAGTCAGAAACCTGCCTCCGTCCT